CTCAGGGCCGGGGCCCCCGCCCCACCCTTCAGCCCCGAGAAGCCACACTCCGCACCCCCGGGCCTTACTTCCAACGAAGACGCTGTCCCCACCAATGGAGATGGGCACACCCTCGTTGGCCTGGGGGGGGGGGGGGGGCAGACAACAGGCTAAGGAGCGCCCACACCTGTCCCCCCAGAGCAGCAAGGGCTCCGCGGAGCAGGGGCCTCCCCTGCTGGGCTCCCCTGACATGTTCTCTCTCGGCCGCCAGAGGGCGCCGGTCCCACTTCTGTTGACAACCCTCCCCAGTGAAGTCCGGCCCAGAGGGTCCACAGGCGACCCCTGCCTGCTCCCTCCTGGCCCGCCCTCCCCTCGGCCATAAGGGCCTCCTCACAGACTGTCCCTGAGCGCCCGGGGCTCAGGCTTCGCACTTGCTGGGACTCTGGTCTGGAAGATTCTTCAGAACCTAGACGCCCCCTGGCTCCCTCCCTTGCCCTTTAGCCCTCGATCCAGTGGCACCGGACAGACCTCCACCCTGGCTTTGGCCTCGCTGCCTCTGCTGTTCTACCGTCCGCACCCTCCCTGGCACGGGGGCCAAGCTATGGGACATCAATCGGATGAAGGGGTTGAGGACTGACCACCGCCCTGCTTCTCGGTTGAAGATCACTGGCCTTTCGTGCCAACACGAGGCCACCAGAGCCAACACCGAGAAGGCGGGACGACGGGAGAGGAGAGGGTGCCAGGGACCATGACCCAGAGGGCGGAGGCTGGGCAGGGAGTGGGGTTCGAGGGGAGAGGAGAGCGGTGGGGGGTGGCTCACCTGCTCCCGCAGATGGTCCCACATGCCAATCACTGGCTTCCGGTACAAGCCGGCGTGCGTGGCCACCAGCACCTGCGGACCAGGTGGGGTCAGACACCATTCCCCCGCCAGCACCCAAGTCCTTCCAGGACATTCAGGCCCGAGGAGGCTCCCCCTCCCTCACCAATCAGGGGTGCTCCCCCTGCCCCCAAACGTGCCACTTCTGATGGGTTCCTCTCCCCATAATCACACCCAGGACCCGGCCCCTCTCTGGGCTCTGTCCCCCTGCAGCCTCCTGGCAGCTGTACCTGAAAGGGGACTCCCAGCTTTTCCAGCACAGCCTCCACCTTGGCCTTGAACTCCTCTGCGGACACCTTCCCACGCCCAATGCCCATCTGGTTGGTGAAGATCACCAGCTGGGGAGCAGATGCGTATGTCTCAGTGCCCTCACCAGAGCCCAGCCTGCCCCACAGCCGGGGCCCACGGGCGCACACACACACACACACACACACACACACACACACACCTTGTAGCCGTCGGCGTCCAGCTCCCGGAGCTTACGTGGAATCTCTAGGAACAAGATCCTAGGGTGGGCAGGAAAGTGGCAAGGTGACCTGGGGCCCGGAGGGAGCCTCACTCACCCCCTTGTCCTCTTATCACCTCCAGTCAGTGGGGCCGGTGGGAAAGACCTTCCCAGAGCGTGTGGTGATGAGGGTCCCGTCCAGATCAAAGCCGGCCACCTGGCATCACCAAGAAAAGAACAGTGACACCTCTGACCCCCCGTCACGGGCTGGTACACATCAACCCTGTGAGGCAGAGGCCGTGACCACTGTCACGGGGGGGAAACTGAGTCAGGGAGCCTATACACCTTACGTAACGACAGGCACAGCGAGGAGGCATCCCCGGTGCCTGATGCAGAGCCTGAAATCTTCCCTTTACTGCTCCTATTCTCCCTACACCCTCAGAATTCCCATCTTTACAACGGAGTTCATTTACTACCCTGACCGCCTCCACCTTGAAGGGCTAACAACCATGCAAAGGAGACAAAAGCTAAGGCTTAGGTGCTAACTGCACACCGGGCCCTGCCCCCTGGTGTTCATGGTGTCCCCATTTTACTGGTGAGAAAAAAGGGGCTCAACGTGGTGTAACAGCATATGGATTAGAATCTCTCTGGACCTAAGAAATACTCATCATAATAGCTCCTGCTAAAATAATCCCAATTGTTGCTATGGTTACAGGGTGATTACCATGGATCAGGCAGGAGCGGATATACATCGATTCCCTCAATGCTTACAACCCCTGAATTTATCAGGTCCATTTCTCAGAAAAGTGGAGGCTCAGAGAGGTTGAGTGACCTGCCCAGGGACACACAGCAGGCTTGGGGTTGCGTCCCCAGTAGTCGGTGGCTCCCTCACCTTGCTCCGGGCCTTCACCCCAGGTGCGGTGAACACTAGCAGCTTCTCGAAGCTCTCCCAGCCAGGGGATGACTTCCGCATTCGCTTTTTCCGCTGTGCAACATGCAACATCCTCTTCCTCTCCCTCTCCTCCTCCTCCTCCTCCTCCTCGGTTGGGGCCACCGGAGGGGTGCCGGGTGGAGTGTCTGGCTGGGACTCTGGCACGCGGGCCTCTTCCCAGCGCAGGGTCAGCGGGTAGAGGCCGTTGACCAAATACAGCGTGTCCCCCACCCCCAGAGAGCCCTCTGACCCCAGCTTCAGCTCCTGGGTCCCCGCAGTTGAGGGATTAACTCCCAGCTGCAAAGGAATAGGGAAGAGCTGGGACCGGCTCCACCACCCCGCCCCCCATCAACCCAGGATAGGGCTTGCCTTTCTCTACATGCCAATCAGACCCCCAAGCCCTGCCTCTTCCCTGTGCACCACCAATCAGGGCTTTGGAAAAGTTGCAGGTGTACGGTGTTGTCCAATTGAGATGTAGAAGGAGGCTGCATTGAGGCAGGCAACACCTCAGGACTGCTCTACTGGGCACACCTGCTTCCCTTCCAGCCACAGGCTCCCGACGGCCCCTCGCCGACCCCACCTCCAGACACTGCTGAGGAACTGGTACCTGTTTCACAGCCACGGTCCGCGTCTCGGGGTCTGCGACCAGCTCCACTGCGGGTGGAGAGGGTGGAGTCAGGCTGTGCATCCCAGCGGGATGACATCCCTCCTTACCCGGGAGCACGGCCGGCTTCCGGCCACAGGGCGGCGCTGCAGCACCCACTCAGGAGGAGGAGGAGGCAGCTCATTTCTAAATGGGCTTGGCTCGCCCCTGGACATGCAGTAACCAGACAAGGTCGTGGCCTAGGGGCAGGGCGGGCATAGTTCTGTAGAGAACCGGTGGCAGGTGCAGGGCCGTTACCACTCGTCCCTGCTCAGCTGCACGGACTTTGGGCCACAAGATGGGCTCTCTCCTTGACAAGGGTCGCAGCCTGACTCCGCCGCTCACGGCGGCCTGAGCATCCCGCTCTGCCCACTGCCAACGGTCTCGGGACAGGCTCGGCCCCTCCCGTCCCCCCCAGGAGCCTGCATCCCGGGTCGGACACAGCCTTTTCTTCCTGTGCCCCCAGAGGCACCGCCAACTCCAGGACGGGCTGCACCATACACTTCCGCCTGTTGGCTCGACGTATGTTCTTTCCTGAACTGACTGTCCATCTTCCCCCAAGCGTTCCCGCTCCGGAAACAGGCCACACCTCCTGCAGCTCGGGCCCCGCCCCTGCCTACCTTGGTTTCTGGAGCACTTCCGGTCGGTGACTTGGGTCAGGGGGCCCCGGCCCAGCACCAGGGCTTGCCCGCCCGCGGGCAGGAAGATGGGGGGCACTCCCCCAGGGGGGCTCTCCAGCCACAGGCGGCCCCTGGCTTCCATCCCGGCCATCCTGGGCGCCGGCCTAAGGGCAAGCGGGTGGAGGTTTGGGTGGCAGGTCGCCTCCAGTTGCTACAGGAAGTCCCGCCTCCCCTCGTCCCTCCACCGGGAATTCCCTGCAGCCGCTGAAGCTCTGGAAATCCGACCCGCTCGCCGGCCCAGGGCTCGCGCCGTCTCCCAGGGGACGCCCGGGTGGTCCTCGGGGAGCGGGGACCCCTGTGTCCCAGGGCAAAGGCCGAGGACCTCGCGCGCTCCCGCCTGCGCCCCACGCTCACCCGTGCTCGGCTCACTCCCTGCTTCCGACCCGGGGGGCCCGGACCCGAAGGACTCGGCCCGCAGCTCCGCCGGCGGCTCCGGTGCTTCTGCGGACGGAAATGCCCGGCCCTGCACAGGGGGCGGGGCCTCAGAGCTCCGCCCGCGGCGAAGCCACGCCCCTCCCCAGCCCTCGGGTCCCTCCGCGCTCTGACCGCCGTCTCTCTGGCTGCAGTGTGAGGTTCACGCCGGTAGGGGGTGGCGAGCCTCTGCTGCAGATTCTGTTTCCACCCAGAAGGCGAGTTTTCACTCCCGTTGCTGGAAATAGTTACAGCGAGAAGTTTTCTTCCCCATTTAATGATCATTGGCAGTCGAAGAAACCCTCACCCCCGACAGAACCCCTACTCCCGATGCTGCAGATTCCTCATCTGTAAAGTGGGAATAGTCGTTTACACTTCGTGGAGTTACTGGGAAGATTCAAGGAGTTAATACACGTAAATAACATAAGTGTCTGGGTGGTAGGTAGCCCTGCGTGAGTCTTGCCCACTAGCGTGCCGCCGGTGGCTGAGGACAGACGGAGGACCAGCCTGCCTTCGGGCCGGGGCCACCGGTCCCCCAACCTCCAGCTGTTTTATGGCAGAAACCCCCCGGGCTTGGCTCGGCGGGAGGTGTCCTGGCTTTGCTGGGACTATGTAGGTTCAAATCCCGATTTCAACACTCAGCCCCTCCCTGGAGGGTCATGGTCCGCAGGACTCCCACCGCATGAATGTCCCTTTTTACCTGTAAAATGGGGACAATTCCCACTCCCTACTTTACAGCGATGAGATGCTGCTGATTCGACCTCAGAAAGTTTGTTGAATAAACACCCACAACACATTTCAAGCTCATGTAACAGCGGTAAAACTCTTTAATCTCAGAGCGCCCCTCCCAACTCGCGATCCCCACCCCCCAACTCCCCCCGACATCAGGGCCGGAGAGTGAGGGCCCCTGCCCCCACCTTGGGTGGACAAGGGCCCTTTAAGGCACCTCGGGGGAAGGGGAGAGGGCGGGAGCTGGGGACGTCCTGGATGGAAGGACGGGCTTCCGATTGGCAGGCTGTTACGGGATGGACCCAGTGAGTGTGTCAGGCGCAGGGCAGGGCCGGACCATCCCTGAGGGGCCAGCGCCCAGCTGTCAGGACTTAGTAAAAAAACCTTAGACCCTGTAGTGTCAAGAACCTAGATTTAAGGCCACAGGCTCATCCTGGGCACAGAAGGGCTTGGCCACGCCCCCAGGAGGCTGGACCCAATCAGGTAGAAGAATTTAGGAAGGGCCCGTGGTGACTGGCAGATTGGTGTAGACCTTTACAGGATTCCAGCCAATCAGATGAAGCTGCCCATTCACCGTCTGAATGGAGCGCCACCACCCAATCCTGGGCCTTGGCTACGCTCTTTCAGGGTTAGAGCCAATGCCGTGCGAGCAAAGCCCTTGTCGCTAGGCAGAAAAAGACGCGAATCCACCCATTTAGGGTTTAGAACTGGCCACTCCCGATTGGAGAGCAAGCCAGTCCCTTAATAGAAACAATCTGTCGCTGGGCAGGAAAAGGGGCGACAGCCTGTGGAGCACTGGACAGGCCCCGCGCCTGGCGCAGAAGGGGGTGGAAGGCTGAAAGGGGTCGGACTCCGATTGGCGGGCCTGGGGGGGCGGGGTGTAGTGTAGGACCGGCGGACACTGGGCCAGGAGGCGCTCCGGGGGCCTCAGTATTTCCGTATCAGCTTCTGGAAGTCGCTGGTGTTTAGTCGAGGTCGTGGCAGGTCCCCGAAGACCTGGGTGTCCTCGGCCTCCCGCATCACCAGCGCGCGCATGCTCGCCGCGATGCGGTCCAGGTCTGGCGAGGAGGGCTGCGGAGATGACATGGATGCTTCAGCACCCCCAATGGCACCCACGTGTCCCACCTCAGCCTGCAACCCTGGCCGTCAGCGCCTGCACCCTGGGCTCCAGGGCCCCTCCAAGTACTTTTGCCCCTGCGATGCCCATAGCCGCAAGGCCCTTCACCCTGTGTGGCTCGATATAGGACCTTCCTACCCGGTTCAAATACCACCTCCTCCAAGAAGCCTTCCTGCCCTTCTCCCCTCCTTGGCCCGGACCACTGCGCTCTAGTTCCTTCTCACAGTGGAAGTGCTGCTCCTCTGCTGACCATCAGGCAGTGTGCACCAGGAGGGTCTCACTCTACGGGTTTGGGTTGGAGATCCATTCATATGCCAGTCAGGCTACTGCCCCCCGGCCCCCCCAGCTGTCCACAGGGACCTCGCCCCCTGGTGGAGGCTTCCGTCTCCTCCTCTGAAACAGGGTCTGAGAAAATCAACACGGACAGCTCAGGAGGGCAGGCTGCCACGTGGCCGGAGCTGGAGAGAGGACCCCTCTCCATGCCAGCCTCCGCCTGAGGGTCCTGTCATCCTGCCTGCAGCCCCACCTAGTCCACCTCCCTTAGAGTCCCTGGCACCCTGAGTTGGGCCTGGCCCCCAGCAGGCTGAGAGGCCACCGACAAAGACCCGTTCAGAGACCAGCCCAGGGCCCAGAGCTCAGGCCTTGAACGTTGTTCGTTAACGGTGTCCCCACTAGTGGTACCCAGGGCGGCAGCCGCTGCTGGACCCGCCAGTGTAAATGCGGACACTGAGGAGTCTCGGGCAGGGTCCACCTGGGACCATGGCCGCCTCCCGTGGAGCCCATAGCTCCTTTCCAAAAGGAAGCTGGGTGCCACTCCAGCCCTGCCCCTTACAGACTGAGGTCTGGAGAAGTCACGTGTACTCTCGGTGCCTCGGTTTCCCCTCTGCTTCAGGAGCTTCAGTGATGGGCGACGATGACCCACCCCGACCACCCCAGGAACTGCATATGTGGATCAAACAGGAGGAACAGCGGACAAGGGTGTGTGTATGGAAGGTGATCGGTCCCCTCTGAGCCTCAGTTTCCCCAGCTGGAGGGGATACCCAAATCCTTGTGCCTGCGTGCAGCATGCACTCTATACATGGAGCTGGAAACGGGAGCAGACTTTCTCTACAAGACACTGGGACACGCTGTGAGGCCGTGATCGTCAACACTGCATGGCTCAGGCCCAAGAACCTGCCTGGTGAGGTGGGAGGTAGGATTAATCCTATGAAATGTGGCACCCATGTCTGAGGACTTCCTGGAGGAGGTGGCTCTGAGCCCTTCCCACCTCCCCTTTGCCCCTCCCCTTTGCCCCTCACCGGCCCGTTCTCTTCATCCGATGACCGTGCTTCTGTCCTCTTTTCCTTGAAGGTCCAGATGGGCACGGACACAGGCAGGGACCTGGCGTACTGCTGTGTGGGCAGGGCTGAGGCTGGGGGCACTGCGTAGGCGGAGAGGCTAGTGGGGGTCTCTTCGCTCAGGCTGCCGTCTGAGAGAGAGGGTACACTTCACCTCTGCCCCTGCCTCCATCCCAGACACCCACTCCCACCCCCACCCAGGGCGTGGGGACAGCTGGGACACTTACCGTCTGTGCTCTCGGGGTCCGACTCGCAGAAGGGGGGCAGGTCCTGGAGCGTGGCATCCTCGTCCATCACAAAGAGCCCTGTGCGTGGCGGTACAGGCCCAGCCAGTCAGGTCACCTCCTCCAGCCACCGGCCCCCTGCTCCCTGCATCGGCCAGGCCCTTGCAAACCTCGGGGTTTCTGGAATACTATTCCCTCTGCCTCGAACACCCTTCCCCCGGTTATCTGCCTGGTCATCCGCAGAAACAGATCTAGTTTCTATCTGTTACACTCTCAGGTGGAAGCAACCGGCTGAACGAAGTCTGTAAGGCAGGAGCGGGGAACCTGTTTTCTGCCAAGGGCCATTTGGATATTTATAACATCACTCACGGGCCATACAAAATTACCAACTTAAAAATTAGCCTGCTTGCCCTAGCCCCGTGGTCGGCAAACCGCGGATCGAGAGCCAAATGCGGCTCTTTGGCCCCTTGAGGGTGGCTCTTCCACAAAATACCACGTGTGGGCGCGCACGTACAGTGCAATTGAAACTTCGTGGCCCATGCGCAGAAGTCGGTATTTTTATTTATTTATTTATTTATTTTTTATAATTTTTTTTTATTGCTTAAATTATTACAAAGAGTATTACATATGTCTCTTTTTTTTTCCCCTGCCCTTGACAATCCCCTGGCCTCCCCTACCCCCCAGAGTCTTATGTCCATTGGTTATGCTTATATGCATGCATACAAGTCCTTTGGTTGATCTCTTACCCACCCACCAGAAGTCAGTATTTTGTGGAAAAGCCACCCTCAAGGGGCCAAAGAGCCGCATGTGGCTCGCGAGCTGCGGTTTGCCAACCACTGCCTTAGCCAGTTTGGCTCAATGGACAGAGCGTCAGCCTGCAGACTGGAGGGTCCCGGGTTTGATTCCGGTCAAGGGCATATGCCTGGGTTGCGGGCTCGGTCCCCAGTAGGGGGCCTACAGAAGGCAGCCGATCAATGATTCTCTCATCATTAATGTTTCTGTCTCTCTCTCCCTCTCCCTTCCTCTCTGAAATCAATAAAAATATATATATTTTTAAAAATTAGCCTGCTATATTGGCCAAACATTTAATTAACTCACCCCTAATGCCTTGGCAGGGCCGACCAAGTGATTTCTAGGGCCTTATACAGCCCATGGGCCTGACAATCCCCAACCCTTCTGTAAGGTCTGTTTGGGATGAACTCACTCAAAATACAGGTTGAGAGAAATATAAGATTATTATGATTCCTGCCTGACATCATGGAAACCTAAAGGCACAGAGAGGTTAAGCCACCTGCCTGAAGTCCCACAGTTAATGGTGTTATGGGATCTGAACTCAGGCCATATGGCTCCAGAATCTGTGCCCTTAACCCTATGCAGGCTTTCTCCTCACAACAGTGAAGAAGCCAGCTATTGAGTGACAAAAACGAACAAGTAACTCCTATTTATTGAGCCCCCTGCAAACTCCTATTCACTCTTCAAAACCCTAATGTCACAGTCCAGTCTCTGGGAAGTATCCAACCTCGAGTTTCCCCCTAAAACTGCCCGTTGCTCCCTCCCTTGGCTTCCTCAGCTGTTGCTGGCATCCCTTGACTCCCCCTCAACGCCTATCTTGTTCTCATAGGCATCAGGCATCCTGATTTGAAATAAACCCTGTTCTGCTCGTGATTCCAGCTCAGGAGGCCCCTACCCCCAACCCCACAGCCTCTACAGGGCACAGTCTCCAGTTCTCTGGCTAGACCAGGAGTCCCATAGGTTGGCTCTGTGTCTATGTCCAGCACCTTCCGGTACCGAGCTGGACCCAGCACAGCGTAAGAAACCTGAAGCTCAGGTAGGGACAACGACTTGCTCAAGGTCACACGGTGACTCACAGGCAGCAAGCCAGCCTGGCACCCGGCTCTGTGAGACTCCAGCTTCCACAGAACCTCAGGCCTCCGAGATAAGCAAGTCCCACCCCTCCCGGAAAACCTTCTGTGCAGGCAACTTGCCAAGCACAGGGCCACCCCCGTCCCCGCCGTCCGCGCCTCTCACCTCCATTATCGCTGACGCCCAGCCGCTCCCCAGAGGTCTCCGTCTCTGTCAGCTCGTCCTCCTCCTCCTTGTCTTCCTCCCTGGGCAGGGCAAGCTGGGATGGGCTCCCTACAGGGCTGGGCGGCTGTGGTGCTGGTGGGGGGATGGGGGGCCGGGCAGCAGCGGCAGCCCTGTGGGCCAGGGCGATGTCCTGGAGGCAGTGGCGGGCAGCCTCAGCCAGAGCCCCGCGGCCATGGGCTGCATAGGCGCAGGGGCCAGGGAGGGGTGGCGGGGGCGGCGCAGCCGTCAGCAGCACCAGCTCCATGCCTGTGTGGGCCCGGAAGCGCTCAGCAGCCCCGACCACGGCCTCCCACAGCTCCTCGGGCGCCCCGACGCCATCCGCGCCCTGCGGGCAGAGCAGGACAGAGGGGGCTGAGACTGGGCTGACTGCCCTGTCCCCACTCAGCCCCGGGTGTCCACCTGTCCCTAGACACCCACCCCTCCCATCCACCTGTCCCAGCTGAGCTCAGCATCTTCCCTCAAACCCACCATTCCCCTAGAATTCCTCCCCATCCAGACCTTAACCGCCCAATCCCACCCTCCTGCCCTGCCCTGTGCCCCCTGCCCTGTCTCTCCTCTTGGACCGGCCTTTGGGAGCCACGGGCCACAGGTGAGCGAGGAGCACCGGAGATGGGCAGGTCCAAAGTGACAGGTGCTGTGGGTGAGCCACACTGGGACGCAAAATACCTCGAGAGCAATCGGAGGGTGACTGCTTGTTGAAATGGTATTTTAGGCAAACTGACTGAAAATGAACTTCATCTGCTTTCTTTTTACTTTTTAAACGTGGCTTATGGGGATTTTGAACTAGGTGTACGGTTAGTATTGTATTTCTATTGGACAGCGCTGCCCTGCCCATCCAGCCTCTTCCGGTGCCTTCCAGCCTCCAGTCTGGCCAGCACATGGCCCTGCTGGGGTCCTTCCAGCCTGGAGCGGCCCCTGCCCCTCCCCAGAACCCCGAGGACAAGCTCACAGCCCCTTGCAGACGTCTGAGGCCTTGGTCAAGGTGCCTTCCCCCCACATCTGGACCACCGGCCTTCCGTTTACTTGTCATTCTTTCCCTCACCTTTAGATCGCGGCAGCCCCCACACCTTGCCCTGTGGACTCCCCAATATCTGAGTGACGCCCATTCTAAGACATCTCTCTCTGGGGAGTACTGTCTGGGTCCACATCCATCTCCCCAGCCAGTGTGGGAGCCCCTGAGGGCGGGCCTGTTGGGCTCATCTCTGAGCCAGCAGCAAGCCTGGCCCAGCTTGCGGGTGGGACTGGTCAGAAAATGGTGTGCGAGCTCCGGTCTGCACCTGGGTTCAGCCCGCAAAGCTTCTGTCTTTCCTACAAGACTGTTTCTCAAGCCCCGGCTGGTTTGGCTCAGTGGATAGAGCGTCGGCCTGTGGACTGAGGGGTCCCAGGTTCGATTCCAGTCAAGGGCACATGCCCAGTTGCCGACTCGATCCCCAGTGGTGGGCGTGCAGGAGGCAGCCGATCAATGATTCTCTCTCATCATTGATGTTTCTATCTCTCTCCCTTTGTCTCTGAAATCAATAAAAATGTATTTTTTTAAAAAACTGTTTCTCAAAACCGAGGCACCCAGGTTTAACAAAAAAGAAACATTCTTTAAAACGAGGCACCCAGAACTCACCCTGGCCGAAGCCACACACAATGAGGGAACCACCAGCACCTGTCCCGACAGGCCCCGGAGCACTTGCCTCGTGCCAGGCAGGGGCCCGAGGGTGCCACCCACGTGCTCATCCCACCCTCTCACCAGCCCTCCGAGAGGAGCGGTTATCACCCCGCTTCACACTGCAACGGAGGCCCAGGGAGAGTCTGCTTTGGGACCAGGGCCAGACAGCCGGAGTCTGAAGCCACACCCTTTTCTGAACACCGGATGCCACCCTGCCTTCCTTGTGAGGAAAGGTGTATGACCTCCCAGTCAAGATGGGGAAAGTGAGGCTCGGAGAGCTTCCGGCGCTGGCCTGGAGGCTCCAGCTAGACAGGGTGGACAGGGCTGACACTGCTGTCTGCCCAGCACCAAAACCTAAGAGTAGTGGGAGGTGCTCAGGGCCTCACAGCCCCTCATCCCCATCTGAGGGAGGACCCTGAAGCCCGGGCCGGGAAATGACTGGTCCCAGGTCACACAGCCTAGCAGTGCTAGGCCTGGTGTTCTCACTTCCTTGTGTCACCAGGGTTAGATTCCTCTCTGTCCTAGATCTTAACATAACGACCGGGCTGCAGAGAGTAATGGGGGTGAGCCCACCCCCCCCAACCCCCATCTCAGAGCATGCACAAAAAGGAGGAGTTCCAGACAGACCTCTCTGGGGACTCACTGGAACCAGCTCCCCAAGAGGAAAGAAACCAAGACTTGGGCAGCCTCCAGTCCCTACAGCTGCTGGAGTTAGTCCTGCATCCTGCAAAGCGCTGAGAGATGGAGAAGCCCCTCTCCTCAATTGGGGCAGTTTAAGATTCGGGAGAGGAAAAGGAAGGGAGAGCTGTCCCCCGGGAGGGCAGGGAGAGGTGAGGGGACCGGCCTCTTAGGAGGAGGTCAGGAGGTGAGGAAGCTGACCCCAGGAAGAGCTGAGGAAGAGGCTAGTGGAGCCCCGCTCCCACCATCTGTCAAACTGCAAGCGCCACCCCCAGCCTCCCGCTCGAAGGTGGGAGGCACTCGAGGATGCACCCGCGGACCCGGGCGGGGTGACTGCCTGGGGTCTCTCTCCACCGCCCGGAGACGCCCCCAGCTCGCCCGGGGGCCAGCGAAGACCCTTCTCCAAAAGAAAACAGGAAATCCCGCCCCGGTGGGGGACAGAGCCGGAAGTCCCGCCTTCAGACGGCTGAGGGCGTCCCGAGACGGCCCCCCCAGGACCCCCCAACCCTAGAGACCAGGTTCACAGTCAGAGAATCCTGATGGACCTGGAGACCGGAAGATACGGCTGCCCAGGGTTCGCCTCGGCTCAGACCCGGCGGTCCATGCCAGCCACCGCTTCCCAGCGCTCAGCGAGGGGGCGCTGGGCGACCTCTGCCCCTGGGCACACGCCGGCTCCGTCACTCCCGAAGGCGGCTCTCCCCCCGGCGCCCCTCTCCTCCGACCGCCGAGTCCTCCCCACCCCGTGGCTCGCAACGCCGCCTCCACTCACGTGCCCGGAGCCAGCATGGCCGGCCTGGCGCCGTCGCCGCCCTCAAAAGACATGGCGGCAATGAGCGTCACTTCCGGGCACTTGGCCCGCCTCCGCGCTGCGCACTCCGCCTCCTCCGCGGGGGCCGCCCGAGCCAAAGATGGCGGCCACGGGGACTTCACTGCCCATAAGAAAGATGGAGTGACACCCCCCCCCAAGCAATATGGCGGCCTGCACATAAACACTCGGGACCACAGTCCCTCACTTATAATCAACCTTCTCCACAGAAGTAGAAGAAAGCCATGCCCGCTACTGACATGGCAACCAGCCTAGTATCATGTGACCATAATGAATAAGGGCTCGCCCTCAGGCCTAGCCCCTTCGGCACCGAGACTGGCAAAGATCCAACAGGCCAGCCTTTCCTGCTTCGGTTTGCCCAATTGCAATATGGCAGCCCGGAAGGATTTCTCCCGGCGGTGACTCGTGGTTTCGTCTGGGACCGCTTCGTTCCCGGGGATGCTGACGGGCTCAACCCGTTAACCCGAATCCCTCAGCGCCTGTTGCGATGCACAGCTTCTCTCACCTTCTTTTCCTCTCCCGGTTTCTCTTTCCCAGAACCTCGCTTCGTGCCCTGCGGAGGGATGAGACCGCCCCGCACTAACATGGCCTCAGCAGACGGTCCTGGCCCGCGCCCTCAAGCAAAATGGCACCCCTTCGGCTTCGATGCCAGGACACCACCCGGGGGAACGAGTAGGCGTCTCGGAGCTGGGGTGCGGGGGCGGGGCTCCAGGCCCCGCCTCCTTGTTTACTTCGCGGTCAGGACGGGGACACTGCGCCTGCGCACCCTCGCTCCGCCCCCGCCGTCGGCGCCGAGGGACCGAAACCCTCGTGACTGGAACGCTCGTGGCGCAAGTTCCACCACCCCGTTTAGAAAAATAGTGACACCCACTCCCCTTCCAGGACTGGCCAGGGCGCAACCACTCTCCCGGGACCGAGGGGAGGCTCCTATCCGGACGTGACAGCACCTTGACCCGGAACAGGAGGGAGCCGGGTCAGCGGGTCCTCGGCCGCGGCTATGGAGGGAGCCGGTTACAGGGTAAGCACGGCGGAGGCCTTCCCTCGCGCCCGTCTAGAGGGGACGTCCCTCCGCTGGGGCGGCTTTCCCGTCGGGCCGCGCTGCGCTGCGCTCCGGGAGCCCGGCCGTTCCGCGGCGGAGACACCATCCCCTGATAACGCACTCGCCCTCCCCGCCTCCGCCCCAGGGAAGACCCTTATCATCCGGCCCTGCCCCTGGCCGCTGGGATCCTCCCCTAGGCCCCGCCCCTTCTGGAATCCACACCCCCTCGCACCCCCTTGAACCCCGATCTTCGACCCCTTGTCTTCCTCCCGGCCAGACGCCTCGCTAGTTTGTTGGTATTTGGGATTCGCCACTCCAGAGCCCCGCCCACCGGGGGATAGCCCCTCCCCAGGTCCGCTCCCATTGGCTCCCTTCTGAGCCCCGCCCCTCGGTGTGGTTCTGCCCTGGGGCCCCGCCCCTCACTGGTTCCCGTGCTCAGGTGGTGTTTGAGAAGGGAGGCGTGTACCTGCACACCAGCGCCAAGAAGCACCAAGACCCGGACTCCCTCATCGCTGGCGTCGTCCGTGTTGTGGAGAAGGTGGGCCGGGGGCCAGGGCTCGGGCAGGCCCAGAGCGGGGTGGAGGCTGCATCTGTCGGAGTGCCATCTGGTTGCCAGCGATGAGACCTTAACAGTGGTTCTCAACCTTCCTAATGCCGTGACCCTTTAATACAGTTCCTCCTGTTGCGTGACCCCCAACCATAAAGTTATTTTCGTTGCTACTTTATAACTGTAATTTTGCTACTGTTATGAATCCTAATGAAAGTATCTGATATGCAGGATGTATTTTCATTGTTACAAATTGAACATAATTAAAGCATAGTGATTAATCACAAAAACAATACGTAATTATATATGTTTTCTGATGGTCTTAGACGACCCCTGTGAAAGGGTCGTTCGACCCCCAAAGGGGTCGTGGCCCACAGGTTGGCGGCCCACAGGTTGAGAACCGCTGCCTTAGGAGGATGGACGGGGTGGGGACTGCAGAGAGGGGCAAGGCTTTGTCAAGCTGAAAGCCTAAAACGGGGAAGAAGTTTGCCAGTATGGTTTGGGGGGTTAGGAGGGGAGCCCCTCTAACCTTTCTCTCCCTCTCGCCCTCCCTCAGGACAACGACGTCCTTCTGCACTGGGCTCCGGTGGAGGAGGCTGGAGATTCCACCCAGATCCTCTTCTCCAAGAAGGTAGGCTTCCCTCGCTTGCCCCTTCTCCACTGGCGTTGTCCTAGGCCCAGGCAGTGGAAGGCATTTGAAAGTGCTGGGTGCAGTCCCAGGCCTACCCTCGGGGCAGATGTGACCCTGTTTGGTTTCCTGTCTCTGTGAGATGGGGCTGAAGATGCCCCTTCATGGGAAGAAGGCGGGTTCGTGGCTGCGGGGACAGCTGCCCAGGTACTCCCTTTGCTTCCTGGGAGAGCCCTGCCGGGACAAGAAGACAGCTGGGCCTGTGGATTGGGTGGCACGGGTTGTTAGCCCATAAGAACTTGAAGAAGTGTGGCGTTCCCTCTGGGGCAGCCCTGCCGTCATGTCCGCAGAGGGAACAGGACCCGACCAAGGCTACTCGCCTACGTCCAAGGCACCCCTTCCTCCCCCCAGTCCAGGACCTCGCTTTTCGCAGTACGTGTCTCCTGGGGCTGCTCCTTGCCAGGCCCTGAGCTGGACGGTGCTGGCACCCAGAGACAATCCCGCCCAGACCCTGCCTAAGCCCTCATGACCATTCTGTTTCTGAGAAATTGAGGCACAGTGAGAGGAAGCCCCTTTTCCGGGATGAAAAACCTAGGAGTGTTGGAACTTGTGTTTGAGCTCAAGGACGCTGCTTCTAGAGCCTGCTTCTCCCTTGGGTGCAGGCGTTTGGGCTGGGATTCTGAAGATGAGAGGCGCAGGAGGAAGTGGGTTCCGGCTCAGGGGATGTGGTACGTCTCTGCAGAGGGGTTTGCTGAAAGGTGGTTGGGCCTGAAATGCTAGGCTCCGAAGCTTGGGTCCTGTCCTGGGCACCCTGGGGGCAACCGAGGGAGGAGAAAGGTGTGAGTGTAGAAAGCTCCCTGGTGAGGGCATGTGCGAATTGGGTCAAAGGACCGAATGGAGGGAGATTGGAGGCTAGAAGGTCAGGGAGGGGGCAGTGTGATGGGCCAGGGGGAGAGGAGGAAGCTTCAGGGGGGCCATGGGGTTTCAAATGACCTGGGGGGGGGGGCGTACAAATGGAGATCCCAGGCACCTGCCCCCCAGGGAGTTGGGGCAGAAGGACCAGGGTTTTGCATTTGTCACCAACCTGGAAGGCAGTGTGGCTGTTCTAGAGAATACTGTTGTCATCCTTGGCACTCTTACTTCCAAATAGCAAACCCACAGGGTGGGCTTCAGCAGGAGGGAAGACAGGCATTCAGGATTTGTTCAGCTCCAAGGAACACAAAACCAGGCTGACGACAGGTTAAACAGACGCAACACTCCAAGAGGTCAGACTCCCTGACTGTCTAGCTGCTGGCCTCTTGATTGTTGCCGTCAGCGCCTGGATCACTGAGACCTACTGTGGTTGCCCTAATGGCTGTAAATAACTGCTTCAGCTCCAGCCAGAGCATCTACCTTTTAAGGCAAGAAGAAGGGGGCGAGCGTGGTACCAACCGCATCTGTCCTCATCAAGAAAAATGAAATTTCCCAGAAACCCTCTGCACTGGTTAGGAGTTGCATTTGGCTGTGCGTGAGTGACAGAAATAGGAATAACGGTCCTACACAAGGTAGAAGCTCCTTGCTCTCCCATTAAAAAGCCCAGAAGTTCAGCCCTGGCTGAGTAGCTCAATGGTTAGAGCCTTATCCCAATACACCAAGGTTGTGGGTTTGATCTCCGGTCAGGGCACATACAAGAAGTAACCAATGAATGCACAAACAAGTGGAACAACAAATCTCTCTCTCTCAAAAAAAAAAAAAAAAAAAGCCCAGAAGTACAGGTTCACGTCTGTGAGGACCCAGTGTCCTTCCATCCTGCGCTGCCACCCCGTGCGGGTCCTAGCCATCCTCAAGGCTGTTTTAGGTCCAAAAGGGCCTCTGGAGCTCCAGCCTTTTTGACTGTGTTTGTTCATCCTACGTGTGAGTTGCAGGTTGGCCAGTGAGCTCTGCTCATCACAAGTACTCAAGGAGCCTGCTGCTGGCGCGGCCAGCATTTTAACAGTCGCCGTTCCTTGTGGCAGAGAAAGAGCCAGATTAAAATCCAGCCTGGAAGTGATCTGTCCCAGCCCTTTGGCCAGAACTCATTGCACGGCCCCACCAGCCAGGAGAGTGCAGTGAGCTGTGATCCTGCCGTTTGCCTGAGAGGCAGGGAGATGCTATTTGGCAAATAGCACGGAGGGCAGAGATGGCGTTGCTGGGGCTGGTTTCGGCAGTCTTGTGGGCAGGTGTCCCTACCAGTTCCTGGCCCTCCCCTCATGGCCCTGCTACAGCTCCAAGCATCGTATTCTCCCTCAACAACACCCAAAGGTGAACCAAAGGGTGTTCACTCCCGTAGGTGCCTTTTTTTACCAGGAACTTTCTGTCCTCAGACTCCCCACAGATATCATCTCAGTTCCCACTGGCAGCAGAGTGGGTCTGTAGGCCACTTAGAACCGCAGGGAATGCTGGGGAAGCGATTGCTGGGGGGCTCAGTCAGCCTGGGCGCAGCAGCAGAGATGGCCACGGGGAGACCCAGGCTGCGTCCTTCTGGTGTCGTTGCTCTCGTCATGCAGGGTTGGGTGCAGGAGTTAGTCTCCCGTTACTGTAGCAGCACGGATGACATGCAGAGGAGTGGAGGCTGACAGGTTTGCACCAGGGCGGGAGGAACAGGACAGACGCTTCAGAACTCACCTGTGAGGGGGCTGCCACCACTGCCAGAATGCGGGCTGTGGCATAGGGGACAGCAGTGGAGCTGTCGAGTTCAAGGGCACAGTCATCAGCGCTGCTACTAAGCTAGTGACTGGGCCTGGAAGACTAAGCTGGCCCCACCGCTGCCCCCGTTGCCTCTCCGAGGGCAGGAAGATGAATACAGATGAGTCTCCTCATTGCTCATCAGCCAAACAGGCCAAAGTGGCAGGAAGTTGCCCTCACCTAACTTCCACTTTCCAGATCTTAGTGTATCTGATTGGTAGACTCTATCTTGTGTTTGGCACTCTAGTTGCAAGGGAGCCTGGGAAATGCAGTTTTTAGGTCTTTGATCCATTTTGAGTTAATTTTTGTGTATAGTGACAACAGTAAAGTTTCATTCTCTTGCTTAGGGCTTTCTAATTTTCTCAGCGCTATTAATTGAAGAGGATTTCTTTTCTCCATTAGATGTGTTTTGGCTCCTTTGTCAAAATTATTTGCCCATATACATAGGGGTTTATTTTTGGGATCTCAGTTCTGTTCCATTGGTTTGTGTATCTGTTTTCCTGCCAATACCATACTGTTTTGATTATTGTCTCCTTGTGTTACAATTTGAAATCAGGGAGTGTGATACTTTCGGCTTTGCTCTTTTTTCTCAGGATTGCTCAGAATGGGCGTCTCCTCTGACAGGTCGCCTCCGTCTCAGGGCTCCACCCCTGTGGGGGAATGTGGCAGTGGGGTTTCCCAGACCCATGAAATCCCAGTGCTGTCCCCTGCAGCCAGATGCTGCCAGCAGTACAGCGGTGAGGGGTGGGGGCGGAGTGACGGGGGAGAGGCCGGCTGGTGTGCTTGTGGCTTTGTTCTCCCAGTAATGGCGACTGCCTGACCTCAGCTGCCTCACCTCTGTATCCCCACCCATCACTGCGATTAGCCGCAGTGTGCTCCTCCTGCTCAGGGAAAGATGCTTATTTCTCTCAATTTTTTTTTTTTTAAGATTAAAAAAAAATTGATGTTTCGATACGAGAGGGAGACATTGATTGACTGCCTCCTGCACCTCGAGGTGATCAAGCCTGCAATCCTCCCCGGAGGCATGTGCTCTGACCGGGAATCGAACTGGCAACCTTTCAGTGCCCAGAACGATGCCCAACCAACTGAGCCACATCAGCCACATGCCTCCCCAGTGTTCAGGGCTGCAGATAATGTGCTCTGTAGCCTGATACTCAGTGCTACAGCCTCTGGCCCGCTGCTGGCCCTTGGCAGGGAGGCGGCCAGCTTGTGGCTTTGTTTTTCTGTTTGGCAGTAGTGGCTGCCAAAATACTATGGCTGCACCTCTGTGCTGGCTCCTCCCTGGTCACTGGGCTCAGCTGCAGCAGCAGCAGGTACTGACCGTGCAGGCAGGGAACATACCTGTATCTCCTTGGTCTGCAGGGGGTGCAGGGGGCAACCTGATCCCCCTCTCCTGAGACCCACACCCATGGCCCTGTCTCAGCTCCTCTCCCTCCCCTCCTCCCCGTTCCTTCCAACTCCCCCACCTTCGGATGCTTCACCGGGGGAATCGCTCAGCCTTGTGAGGAAACCTGTTGCTGCGACTTCCAGGGGAGACCAGGGGACCCTCATGTTGCTGTGATTCTAACGTCACCCCTCACCTTATTTTCATAACCTGTGAGCCGGCTACTTTTTTCTTTTATCGAGATAGAATTTACTTACCACAAGCTCAATTTTATGGTAAAACTTAAGATTTTCGAGGTGCATAAGTCAGTGGATTTTAGTATTCGCACAATTTTGCAGCCGTAGCCAGTGTCCAATTCCAGAACATTCCGCCGTGCATGCCCCAAAGAAGCCCTCTAGCTGTCAGCAGTTGCTCCCCCTTCTCCCCTCTCCCAGCTCCTGACGACCACTAGTCTCCTTTCTGTCCACAGATCGGCCTGTTGTGGACATTTCATAGACGGAATCACACAGTCCACGGTCCTGTGTGTCTGGCTTCTTTGCTTTGGGTGCTCCCGAGGTCCGTCCGTGCTGCAGCGCGGATCAGGCTGTGCTCCGCTTTATTGCCGAGTGATATTCTGAGTGGCTCTGATGCTGGGATTATTCCTCAGCTGGCGGACACTGGGCTGTTCCATTTCTTGGCTCTCAGGAATACTGTCCGAGTTCCTGCGTGGGCATTTACATTCGTTTCTCTGGGGTTCGTGCCTAGGCGTGGAGGTGCTGGGTAATTCCACACGATAACTCCACGTTTCACCCTTTGAGGAACTGCAGGCTTTTCCACTGCGGCTTCCGCACCTCACATCCCCCCCCCCCCCCCCCAGTGTCTTCTTTGTCGCGGCCGTCCTGGTGGGCACGTCCTGGTGGGCACGCGGGGATCTGAGCGCGGTTTGGTTTGGTTTGAGCTGCCCTAATGAGCGCTGCCTGCTCCCAGCACTGAGACCTCGGCAGCCCCGGCAGAGCCCGCCCTGCTGGAGACCACCTGCTCGCCGGTGGCGGCGACGCTTTGATGACAGCCACCAGGAGACTTGGCTTGAGTCCTGGCCCAATCCCAGTGCTTAATGCCCTCTTTGTGCCTCAGTTTCCCTCTTTGTTCAACGGGGCTACCTTCCAGGGTAACCTCATGGCTCCCACCCCAAAACTGAATCCCTAACCCCTCTTTTCCCTTCTTTCCCCCAGGATGCCCGTGGAGGGGACTCCTTCACCTCGGAAGACGAACCAACCTTTGACCCCGGGTAAGAACCCGACTGGGCTGTCATCAGCACTGTGCAGCCCACGGCCCCGCCGCTCAGAACCGACGAGGGGTAGGCTGAGCTGTACCCCTGGGGGGCAAGTGGTGACACCTTACCCTCCGTGGTCATGGCACCATGGGCTTCACTGCCCACAGTCAAGATGGCTCCCCCACCCCGGCCTTCCAGTCCCAGGAGAGTGGGTGGGGAAGGCCAGCATCTCCAGGGTTTGCAGCCTTGCTCATTCTGCCAGGCTCTCTGGTTGGCTGCGGGCATCCCCAGTGAGTCCAGGCCGTCTGAGTGCTGCAGGAGGGGCACCAGGGAGGCATCTGATCCCTCCGGGGGTGGGGAACCCTTCCAGGAAGAGGCAGTGCAGAGCCTGGCTCTGAGGGGCGCTTGGCGTGGGCACTGGCCTTTGTTGTGGCTCCAGGGTGGGGTCTGGAGTGGAGAGAGGTTGGAGGCGACACAGGCAGGGGCAGACCGAGGGCTAGGGAGCCGATGTGGAGCAGGCACATGTCCCCCGGGGGGGGCTCTGTTCACATTTTATTCACTTGTGTTTCCATGGATGTGAGGTGACCCAGAACTCCCAAGGGTGGGGCCTGGGGCTGGCTCCTGTGGGCTCTTAGGACAGGTGCCATGTGCCCCCTGGCTCCCCACACCTCTCCCGACACGGTGCCACCCCCAGGTGCGGAGCCCAGCTGCCCCCGGGACTCCTGGGCCTTCTGGGTGAGCCTGGGGGAGCTCAAGTCCATCCGCCGGTCCAAGCCAGGCCTCAGCTGGGCCTACCTGGTCCTGGTGACCCAGGCCGGAGGCTCCCTGCCCGCCCTGCACTTCCACCGCGGGGGCACGCGCGCCCTGCTCCGCGTCCTCAGCCGCTACCTGCTGTTGGCCAGGTGAGCATTCCCCTTGGTGCCAGGCTCTGCCCCCCACGGCCGCAGGCCCCTCAGCTGGGAGAGGAGCAACTCAAACTGATTCAGAGGCAGGAAAAGGGAACTGATTGGCACGAGTAACCGCCACGTCCAAGGGTAGTTTGGTGTCAGGCAGGCCCGGTCCCAGGATGCTGGACAGAGCGGGTCTGCTTCCCTCTGAGTTTCTCACGCTCAGGGACCAGCAGCCCTGGTGTAGCCGGTGGATGGACGGACAGAAAGCAACTCCCTCCTCACATTCCAACAGCTTCCCCGGCTGCTGCCTCTCGCGCCTGACCAGGAAGGGGGCAGTCAGTCCCCTGACCCGGGAGGGGGAAGGCCCTCATCCGCCCTGGGCCGTGCCCACCCCCGGGGTCCAGCTGTGGTCTCAGGCCCGAGAAGAGGGAGTCCCCAGTGGAAGGAGGCGGGAACACTGCAGGGCCTCTACCTGTGCGTCACCAAACCCTCTCCCTCCAGCTCCCCGCAGGACTCCCGCCTCTACCTCGTCTTCCCGCACGACTCCTCCGCGCTCTCCAACTCCTTCCACCACCTCCAGCTCTTCGACCAGGACAGCTCCAACGTGGTGTCCGTGAGTCCCCAGCAGCGGCGCAGAGGGGGGGGTGGGGGGGGGCTGTGGGGGCGAGGCGGTCGGGCGGAGTGTGACCAGTCCTCCCTCTGTCCCCAGCGCTTCCTCCAGGACCCCTACTCCACCACCTTCAACAGCTTCTCCCGCGTGACCAACTTCTTCCGGGGAGCCCTGCAGCCACACCCGGAGGGGGCCTCCCGCGACCTTCACCCGGTCCCCGACGACGAGCCCGAGCCTGGGTTCGAGGTCATTTCCTGTGTGAGTAGCAGGGCGGACGCCATTACTTTGGGCTGCCACCGCGGGCGTGGGCCTGCATTTCCCAGCGCCTCCATTTCGTCCCGGAGAAGGGGGCATAATAATGGCACCACCCTCATCGGGTGGCGTGAGTGACTGGAAAGTGCTCACAGCCTGTGCTCCTGGTGCTGGCTGTTATTGGGGGGCCCTTCCAGACTTGGGGTGACTTTGTCCCTGACCCAGGGACGGAGTTGCTTCCCGCCCCACCCTGAACATTACCTGTCTGCTGAGCTAAGAAGGGCTGAGGGGACGTGAAGGTGGCTGGGATGCGGCTGGGGAGGGCTGTGGGGTCCCCCACATCGGGGCTCAGTGCGGTGTCCCCGCAGGTGGAGCTGGGGCCTCGGCCGGCCGTGGAGCGGGCGCCTCCGGTCACAGAGGAGGAGTGGGCTCGCCACGTGGGCCCCGAGGGCCGCCTGCAGCAGGTCCCCGAGCTCAGAGCCCGGATCTTCTCAGGAGTGAGGCGCTGGGCTGGTGGGGGGCTGGGCCGGGCCGGCCGGCGGCCTGGGGCCCCCTCTGAGCTCCCGCCTGCTCCGCCCCCAGGGTCTGAGCCCCAGCCTGAGGCGAGAGGCCTGGAAGTTCCTCCTGGGCTACCTCAGCTGGGACGGCTCCGCCGAGGAGCACAAGGCGCACGTGCGCAAGAAGACGTGAGTGAGCCCCAGCACGGCGCCCCGCCCCCCACGCTGATTGGCGGGTTTTGATCCGCACGTCCCAGCGGCCAGCAGGGCGCCCGGCACGTGGCACAGCACCCAGCACGTGGCAGGGCACCCGGCACGTGGCATAGCACCCAGCACGTGGCACGGCGCACGTTGGGTTTGAGCCTGTCACGTGCTGGGCAGCACCCGTGCACGGGGGAGACTGGCGGCTGCCGTTTGTCCTGGTGCCACACTGTCTCCTGGTCACTGCTTTGCTTCCTGAACTGTGGGCCACCCCTCCTCTTGCTTGTATATGCTGTGCCCCTGCTATGCGGCCTGGTCCCCACACCCGGAGGTCTGTGCCCTGAGATGTCAGGAGGGGGGTCTGCCTGGTCAGGGAGAGGCTCTGGGGCGGTGGCCGGGGCTGAGCCCTGCAGACGGAGGAGGTGGCAGGCGCCCTCACGCCGCCCCTCGCCCCTCAGGGACGAGTATTTCCGGATGAAGCTGCAGTGGAAGTCGGTGAGCCCCGAGCAGGAGCGGAGAAACTCGCTGCTGCACGGATACCGCAGCCTCATCGGTGGGTTGGGGGCTGGGAGCCGCGCCTCCCAGGAGCGGGGTGAGGGCATCTGAGGGGGATGGGGGTGAGCAGGGGGAGAGGGAGGAGAGCCAGGCTGCTTGGGCTGAAGCCCCGCTCTGCCATCTATTCACCGTGAGTACATCCTGGCAAGTGATTTTACCCTGGGCCTCAGTTTCCCCGTCTGTGGCTGGTTAGTAACCATGGCACTGGAGGATGTGGGGAGTGTGGAGCAGCCCTCACTCCAGGGTCAGGTGGTTGGGGACTGGCCCACACCTGCCTGGGGAGGGAGGAGAGGGGGCTGCAGCCAATGGCCAGCAGGGATGGGACCCCCCCCCAACTTTCTCACCGTGGCACCCTGCACCCTGTCCCCACAGAGAGAGACGTGAGCCGCACGGACAGGACCAACAAGTTCTACGAGGGTCCCGAGAACCCGGGGCTGGGCCTGCTGAACGACATCCTCCTCACCTACTGCATGTACCACTTCGACCTCGGTGGGCGCCCGAGGCAGGGCGGCGCCGCCCCTGGGGGGCTGAGGGCCTGGGCCGGGCCCTGACCTCCTGTCCCCACAGGCTACGTCCAGGGCATGAGCGACCTTCTCTCCCCGATCCTCTACGTCGTTCAGAACGAGGTGGACGCCTTCTGGTGTTTCTGTGGCTTCATGGAGCTTGTGGTGAGGCTCGGAGCAGGGGTGGGCGACGGGCGCCTGGGAAGGATGGGGTGCGACGCCTCCCGTGCCTCCCCCCACAGCACGGGAACTTCGAGGAGAGTCAGGAGACCATGAAGCGGCAGCTCGGGCAGCTCCTGCTGCTCCTCCGGGTGCTGGACCCGCCGCTCTGTGACTTCCTGGGTACGTGTCTCGCTGGGTGGGCGGGCGGGGGACAGCAGGGACAAAGGTGTCGTCAAAGAGCCTCTGGGAACGAGCAGCCCCAGACGGTGTCCAGGACATTGGGTCCTGATCCTAAAAAGAGAAACATCTGGCACCACCCAGAGCCCAAAACGTACCGGTGAAAGCAGGGTGGGGCTTGGAGCAAACCCCGAAGTGCAGGCCCCCACGTGCCGCCCCCCACATGCCGCCATCAGTCCAAGCTCCTGAGGGAACGCCCACCCGCCTTGAACCCGGGGCTGGAAACTGGTTCTCTGGACTCCTGGCACTGGGACTGCTGCTTTCTGGCCTTAAAATGTGTCTTGGAATTTGTTCAGTGTAAAAAATGCAAGAAATTCAGATAAGAGGAAGAAAATAGAAGTTGCTGTTGATAGTAGTATTCTTTTGATGCAGATGACAAGTTAGCTTACTTACGGGTATTTCTTCCGTAAAGTGTAGGCTCACTGTGGGGGAGGGAGATATATCGGAGCAGAAACCAAGACCTAGAAAGCTCATGCCAGTTCTGGAGACACCTGCACATTAGCTGCCTCTGTGTCATTAAAAGGTTCTTTTAGTTGCCCTGGCCGGTTTGGCTCAGAGGATAGAACGTTGGCCTGCGGACTGAAGGGTCCTGGGTTCGATTCCGGTCAGGGACACATGCCTGGGTTGCGGGCTTTAAAAAAAAGTTTCTTTTAGCCTCAGCCGGGAGGGCCCAGGCTTGATCCCCAGCCCCGGTTGGGGTGAGTGTGGGAGGCAACCCATTGATGTGTCTCTCACATCAATGTTTTTCTGTCTCTCCTCCTCCCTTCCACTCTCAAAAAATCAATGGAGAAATATACTTGGATAAGGAATAACAACAACAACAAAAAAGTTTCTTTTAAAGATTTTCTTACTTTTTTTTTTTTAAGAGAGAGAGAAAGGGAGAGGGAAAGAGCTAGAAACGTTGGTGTGAGCAAAACCTTGATTGGCTGCCTCCTGCAAGCCCCCTACCAGGGATTGAGCCTGCAACCTGGGCATGTGTCCTGACTGGGACTCGAACCAGCAACCTTCTGGTGCCCAGGATGACATCCAATCAAGTGAGCCACCCCAGCAGGGCCATTAAAAATGTTCTAACCAGCGGTTCTCAACCTGTGGGTCGCGAACAATGAAAGTACATCCTGCATATCAGATATTTACATTATGATTCATAACAGTAGCAAAATTAGTTATGAAGTAGCAACGAAAGTAATTTTATGGTTGGGGGTCACCACAACATGAGGAACTGTATAAAGGGTTGCGGCATTAGGAAGGTTGAGAACCACCACTTGTATTGACCGCACAGCGTTTATCCCTCTTAATGATTTAAGATGATGTACAAGAACAGATTTGACCTGACCTGGACATTTGCAGTTTTTCATCGTGACAAATAGAGTCTGGATAATTTCTTTAGGTAAAATTCGAGGAAGTGAGATTGTATCTCGGGCAGTAGATATTTTTACAGCTTTTGAAATGTCTGTCCCCATCGCTACTTTCCGGGAAAGTTCTACCAGTTTCTGTGTTTGCTCGACGTTTCCTCACGTCTCTTGGGCCTCACTGTCCCTCCGTGTGTGCGTGGAAAACACGGGACGGCTCACCTCGCCGGGGTTTGGAAGGCAGGATGGGGACGGTTCCCGTTGACACGGCATTCCTGCCTCGGCCCAGAGGCTTCCCACGCAGGGCAGGAGTTACCGCCTCACCTGGTGCCGGGTCTCACCGCAGGGTCTTAGCTGCCATCCGACGGGCACACTGTGAATTGGAACGGGGCGGGCACTGGTTGTGAGCTTGCTGATTGCTTAGCACCACCCTCCACCGCTGTCCTCCTCTAGACTCCCAGGACTCTGGCTCTCTCTGCTTCTGCTTCCGGTGGCTGCTCATCTGGTTCAAGAGGGAATTCCCCTTCCCGGATGTTCTTCGGCTGTGGGAGGTGGGCAGCCGGCGTGGGTGGAGGCTGTGGGAGGTGGGCAGGGGCAGGGGCAGGCCTGGGTAGGACCTCAGGCAGAGGCTGGCCTGTGACCCTCCCTCCGGCGCTCCCAGGTGCTGTGGACGGGGCTTCCGGGCCCCCATCTGCACCTGCTGGTGGCCTGCGCCATCCTGGACATGGAGCGGGACACCCTCATGCTCTCAGGCTTCGGCTCCAATGAGATCCTCAAGGTGAGGCTGACCCTGCCCTCCTGACCGTGCACATGGGACACAGCGGCTGGAAGGGGACTCAGTAGGATTGTGCAAGCAGGTTAGCTGAGCGGGGCAGCCCTGAGGCCAGCTCTGTTCTCCTGCCTGGCCCCATCTCTGGCTTGCAGTGTCCTCTCGCAGCCTGTGGTCTGTGCTTGTGGGCTCCCCCAGCACCCGAACTGGGCGGCCAGGCCACTGGGTGGAGCTCAGCGCTCTTTCCCTTCCTGATCCTGCATCTGGCAAGAAGCCTGGGAGAGCTGACCTCCCCTGACCCCCCAGCTACACTGTGAGCCCCAAGAGGGCCAGCTCTCCATGGTGTGGCTCAGTGGGCGCTCTGGCCGTGGGGGTTGAGGCCCGAGGCCGGCCTGACTCACTCCCCCCCACACCCCAGCACATCAATGAGCTGACCATGAAGCTGAGCGTGGAGGACGTACTGACGAGGGCCGAGGCCCTCTACCGGCAGCTGACAGCCTGCACGGTGAGTCCCCCACCTTCCCAACAGCCCCACTCCCCGCCCCTCAAACTTCTGACTTGGCTTCCCCTCCCCACCCTCCAGGAGCTGCCCCACAACGTGCAAGAGGTCCTGGGCCTGGTCCCGCCCGCAGCGCCGCACAGCCCCTCGCCTCCCGCCTCCCCGCTGCCGCTGTCGCCCACCCGCACCCCGCCGGCCCCGCCGCTCCCCGCGGACGCAGCTGCACAGCCGGACAGCAGCCTGGAGATCCTGCCTGAGGAGGAAGAGGAGGACGGCGTGGGCGCCTAAGTTGCTGGGCTGGGCTGGCCTGGCTGCAGCCTGCGCGGCTGCACAGCACTTTATCCAGCTCCCGCCCATGACCACACCCACGGGCTGGGGGTGGAGCCAGCAAAGGGGCGGGGCTCCCGCCCGGCCTCCCCGCCCTCCGATTAGCTGGTTTCATTAACTGACATTTCTGTGTCCAGTTGGCCTCCTGTAGGTGTAGGAAGGGGAGGGGGTGGTGCGTGTTCCCCTCTGACCACTCTGCAGAGCAGGTGTTTGGCCGTGGACCCCAAACCCGGCCAATGAGATTACGGGGAGGTCCCTTGGGGGTGAGTGGTGTGTGGGGGCGGGGCTTGTGGAGGAGTGAGGATGGGGTGCTGGGGTGCAGCCTTGTTGTGCAGGGACACATCCTGGACATAACTGACATGGAAGGGCCTACAGAGCTGCTCGTACACTGAGGACCTGCGTACAGCGTTGTGGTACTTGAGGGAAATAAACTCGTGTTTGATCCACTGTTGGTCTGGCCTTTTGTTACTCGCATCCGGCCCCACCTGTGTCGTCACCGTCGGGCGGGCCCGGCGCCGTCCTCCCCAGGGAAGCCCCTGCGCAGGGCAGCACCCGGGCTCTGGGAGAGGCAGAAGCCCCTCTACCCCTGGCGCATGGCTTTGCTCAAAGCCAAGTGGGGAGGCAACTGAACCAGGGAGGGGACAGGACCACAAGGCTTTTTCCGAAAATAATTTAATACTCGGGCGTCTGGCTGGTGGCGTTGGGAGTGGCTGTCCCGCGCAGGGTTGAAGGGTAGGTGGTCTTCGCCGTTTGAGACTTGCACAGGGGCTGGCAGTCCACGGGGCCCTCGGCCACGCGCACGGGCTCCTCGTCCTCCGTGTGCAGAGCCTTCTCCTTGTGCAGGGACTTCTCCTGGCTGTTGATCGGGCTGTGCGTCTGGCCGTTGATGGACACGGCCGCGCGCAGCGCCGACTTGACGGCTGTCTCCATCCAGCCGTGCGGGTAGGCAGTGTGCTCCCCCGCGAAGTAGATGCGACCGTAGGGGTCCGTCCAGTCGATCTCCTCCCAGCCCTCCTTGGCTCGCCAGAGCGTGGGCGGCTGCACCACGAAGCCGCCCTGGCTGTGCGGGTCCTCTGCCCAGCGCTTGACCACGCCGGTGCCGTCCCAGAGCCGGTACACGATCGGCCCGTGCAGCGCCGCCACGTCATCCAGGGCCAAGTGCATCGTGTCTTCCGTGCTCAGGCCGTCGAACGGGGCCGTGGCGTCCCCCCACGTGTACGAGGCCAGCAGCAGCGAGCCCTCCCCTGGCGACGGGTAGATGATCACGCGCGACGGGCGGTCGGTGTTGGAGTGGCCGCCCTGGATGTGCTCCTCGTGCCAGAAGGGCCGGCGGAAGCTCAGGTACACCTTGATGGCCGGCTCGTAGTGCAGCTCGCGCAGCGCCTCCTGCCACTTGCGGGGCAGCGGCGGGGAGAACTTCATGCGCTGCAGCGCCGGCCCGGTGGCCGTCAGCAGCACCACGTCGGCGGCCATGGTCTTCTGATTCCGATCCCGGTGCCAGGTCCCGATGTGCACGTGCACCTCGTGCGGCTCCTGCTTCACGGCCGCGACCGGCGTGCGCAGCAGGATGGGCACCGACAGCGTGCTGAGCAGGGCGCGCGGCAGCAGGTCCCAGCCGCCCTCGATGCGGCTGTACCTGGGGAGCGGGGGGCGGGGGGGGGGGGCGGGCAGGAGCGTGACCTGGGCTCTCGGCCCGCCCCTTCCCGCTGGCTGGGCCTCTCTGTGCGCTCGCTGGTCACCTGCCCGGAGCCCTCCCTCTAATCACCCTCTACTACTGGCCCATAATTGGCACCTGCTTGCTCCCCGAGAACCCCACCCACTTCCTGAAGTCCCCCCAAGCTCCCCCCCAACCCCCCAACGGGGACTGGAAAGCACAGAATGATGTGACTCAAGAATCCCGCCTCTTCTGCCGGGGCCACGCCCTTCCTGGAACCTTTCTAATCCATTTCCTCCAGACCCCGGGGTGTGGGGGTGAATGTGGCTCCTTCTCCCTAAAAGCTGCACCCTTCTCGCCAGCCCCGCCTGCCCAGTATTGTGGCCCCCGCCACTCCGTTACTCCCCGCATTGGCCGCAGGCCCCGCCCCTCACCGGAGCCGATCGCTGAGGGAACCGTGGGCCCGCAGAGCCTCCAAGAAGCTGCGATGGAAGAAGCGGTCCTTGGACATCACGTCCCCCAGGAGGTTTGCGGCGGGCTGGCTCAGGTTCCCCTCGTTGAGGAGGTACTCCTGGGGACAGGTTCCCCTCGTTGAGGAGGTACTCCTGGGGACGGGTGCGGGTCCCCACTGCTGCGGGGTCCCTCCCAGCTCCGTCCCCACTGCTGCGGGGTCCCTCCCAGCTCAGCCTCCCGATGGCGAACCTGTGACACGCTTAATGCAGTGATGGCGAACCTGTGACACGCGCGTCAACTCATTTTTTTGGTTGATTTTTCTTTGTTAAATGGCATTTAGATATATAAAATAAATATCAAAAATATAAGTCTTTGTTTTACTATGGTTGCAAATATCAAAAAGTTTCTGTATGTGACACGGCACCAGAGTTAAGTTAGGGTTTTTCAAAATGCTGACACGCTGAGCTCAAAAGGTTCGCCATCACTGATAGGTTCCCTGGACCTTAGAGATCCGGTCCCCCTCCTCTTGTGACCGATGAGGAAAGGGAAGCCCCGAGAGGATGATGTCCAACCCCATGGCCAGGCAGGGAGGTTGCCAGGGCTGTGTCCCGGGTTCCTGCCCTCTGGCCCACGGCCGCCCTCCTGCTCCTGGTTTCAGACAGGGACACGGAGGCCTCGCTCACCAGGAGTGTCAACTTGTCGAACTTCCTCATGGCCTTTCTGCAGCCCATTTTCCTGATATCGATGATGGCCTGCAGGGGAACAGGCAGACAGCATTGAGCTGAGGGGCAGGATGGTGGGGGCTGGGCCCGGGGTCCAAATCTGGGTCCTCTTCCTGCTCCTGCTCATGGCTGACCTTCACCACTCGCGTTCACACTGCCAGGCCTTTGCCCACGCCGTCCTCAGCCCTGCCCTCCACTGCTGCTCCCATGTCACCCCCTGGGACGTCTTCCTGAGTCCGTACGCCCCTCATTCCCCGGCACACCTGGCACCGGAATGCTCGGCCAGGCGGGCGCTGTTTGGCCTGCCTCCGTGCCAGGCGTGGCTCCGTGCAGGCAGGGACAGTCCCTCTCAGTGCTGTGGCATTCTGGTGCCCAGGAACCACCTCCTGGTTCACTGTGGGCACTGACGGAAGTGGAATTCCTCTGCCACTGCTGAGGGGGCATGACTGCCCATAGCTTCCCAGGGCTCCTCAGCACCTGCAGCCGCAGTTCTATCCCCTCAGCCTGGCATCCCAGGCCCCTACCAGCCCCTGGACCGCCATCTCTTAAGGAAGCTCTGGTTCTAAGGACAATATCCAGTGCCCAGACCACCCTCAGCTCTCCCACCCCCACACCCTGTACTCTCCCCTTGGCTAGTCCTCCTTCACCGCTCTGCTCCAGGCTCATCTCCTGACCGCCTCCTCTGATTTCTGCCCTCTTCTTTGCTCACCTGGCTTCCCCCTTGTGCCCTTCCTCCCTCATTCCCTCACCATCACCTCGCATTTCTCTAGGCTCACTGAACTGGGAGGTGCCAACACGGCATGGCCTGAACTCAGCACCCACCCTTGTCCGGAAGGGGAGATGGACAATTAGGAGCTGCCAGAGAAGGGAGAGGCCGGCTCCTCCCTGAGGGCATCGGGGAAGGCTTCCTGGAGGAGGGGGCATTGGAGTTGGTTCTTGAGGGATGAGCAGGGTTCCCTGGGGGTAGGGGGTGAGGGGGTGGGGGACGGGGTCTTCCAGGCAGGGCAGGCAGGAGCCAGAGGAGAGGATGAGGCCCAAGTTGGGGCCAGGACTATTGTGACATGGGAAACCCGGAGTATGAGAGGTTTGGAGGAAGAGACTGAGTTCAGTATCAGGATCCTGGGTGTGGCCAGGGGGAGACAGACATAGATGTGGGTCTGGAAGACGTCTGCCTGCAGATCACGGTTTAAGCCACAGATGTAAGAGGTGAGGCTGTCCAGGACAGTGTGTGGGTGGGTGGGGAGGGCACCAGAGACCACAGGGGGATGGAGCTTTGGGGATAGGCAGTTTGCAGGGAAACTAAAGATGGAAGAGGCGGCCGTGGGAGACCAGGAGGCGTGAGGGGGAGAAGGAAAGGCTGGACAGGGGGACGACGAGGGGGCGCAGGACAGCGTGGGGGGCAGGGCTGCGGGCCCGGCGGGCGCCCACCTTGTTGAGAGCCATCTGGAAGATGTCCTCAGGCGCGTGGCCCTTCTCCTGGGGGCGCAGGTCGTAGCCCAGCTTCTCCGGCATCTTCTCCACCACGTAGTTCCGCAGCTTCATGTCGCCCACTTGGGTCCACGCGTTCTCGTCGTACTGGATGAACTTGGTCAGGTTGAGCCCCAGGCTCTTGCAGAGCACGTGCAGGATCCTGAGGGAGCAGGCAAGGCTGGGGCGGTCCGACAGGGGAGGCGGGGTGCCCCTTCCCTTGAAGAAGGGAAGGGGGTGGGTAGGGCAGCTGGGGACAGGGTTTGGGGAGGGGCCTGAGGCTGGAGTGGGGTTGGATTTGGGGGCAGCTGGGGACAGGAATGAAATGGGAACAGATGGAAGGCTGAGGGCAGTCCCGTGTAGGACAGGGTTTGGAGCGGGAGTCAGGGTCAGGGCAGGCAGAGCTGGGGGTCCAGAGGCACTGGGCGGGGCTAGCTAGGGGTCCAGTGGTGGGGCTGGGATCAGGAGAAGACCGGACTTGGAGGCGGGGCTGGGATCAGGAGAAGACCGGACTTGGAGGGACTTGGAGTATGCGCATGGCTCCCAGCTCCCCAATCCAGCCCGTTTTGACATGGGTATGCGCATGGCTCCCAGCTCCCCGATCCAGCCCGTTTTCTCATCCCGGTAGGTGAGGATGCGGCCCCCGATCCTGTTGGCTGCCTCCA